GTGTGTGTGTGTGTGTGTGTGTGTGTGTGTGTGTGTGTGTGATGGAGAGGGACGCGGAGCAGCCACAGAGCTAAGGGATCAGTATCTGCACTTGCATGTCTCCTACAGAGCAGCTGAATTAGCAGTTGTGACCTAAGATTGTTTTGTATTACCACTTTACAAGAAAAAGTGATTTTCACACTTTTTTTTCTCAGAAGGGAAATACGAGCTCTTCACCTTGTTCTTTGAAGCTCTCGGGAGATGCACCCAATGTGGTTTCGAGAGGCTAACAGCCTCTCACTGTGTCTACCTTAGCACTGCCAGGTGTGAAAACGGGTAGTCATTTCTTCAGTCTCAGTGGATAGAGGGGAGATTCCATAGGTGAGCTTCATCATAGAGGCTCTCTATCGCCAAATGCTCGGAACACAGAGGGGGGGAAGCTGCAGATGGCTCTTTCCGTGGAGTGTCTCCTTCTCCAGGCAGTGAGGTAGTCTCCCAACTGTCCTTTCAAATCATCTGACTGCTGTGTCACCAGGTTGGGTTCTGAACTCAGGATGTTTATTTCTTCCTGATGGCGTGACAAGATGTAGGACTAATAATAGGCAGGGATGTGTTGAGTGTCGTTACGTTAGACATGGAGGTTACTCAACGAGCCAAGATGAGTGGACTTTATTCCCAAAGGCACTGGTGATGACTTCGAGCAAGGATGTGAAGTTTAGGGGAAGAGTATTTAAGGATGGTGTGGGGGGCCCACACGATACCCAAGAGTACTGAAGAGAAAAGCAGCTAAAATCTAGGCTAGAAGTCAAAGAGGTGTGATTATTAGTGGGCTTAACAGAAACATCCTGGAATGTTTATTGATTTTCATGTAATGAACGACCCCACCAGAGAGACATCCAGCCATAAAATGAACTTGCAACACCCACCATAAGAGAATGAGGGGTCATTGGACAGTCTCTGAGGCTCAGTCTTATTTGTATTCCTCTGAGCCATGAGCAGTATCTTCCTTAAAAGAGTTGAGGGGAGAGAGATAAGAGCAGATATTGTCCAGCCAGGGGTTTGCCTGATGGTAAGTCCTCATAGAGGTTGGGGATAATGACCAGGAAATAAAGGCAGATGGTATCACAAGCCAGGAGCTGGCCTGAGTTAGCATTCATCATGGATGCCAGGAGTGTATTGTCAGCCTCTTCCATACATTCTGGGCTTGCCCTCCTCCACATCTTTACTTGTATGGGTGCCATATCACCTGCCTGAAATTTGAAGCCCACTTCCACTTTCTCCTTGCCTCTTTTCCCTAAGGATTTGTATCCCCACTACTTACACCATAGCCTCTAACGTTCGTTCCCCAAATCCCAACCATCCTGTGGCCGTGAGGTGATTGCATACTTGCTCCTCTTGAGTAGGGGAAAAGGAAAGTTAGAGAGGAAGTCTCCATTTGCCTCTTTCCCCTAGCAACAGCCATGTGACCATCCTTAGGCCTGTGTCCCAAGTATGCTCAGCTCAACCCAGTCCTGTGTACCTAATTGTTGACTTAAGAATATGTACCTCATCCTAGGCCTGGATGGAGCGGGGAGGGCCTTGGACTTCCCACAGGGCAGGGTACCCTGCCCTCTATTAAGGGGGGAAGGGAAGGGAAAAGGGGGAGTAGGGGAGCGGGAGGGAAATGGGAGAAGGGGAGGAATTGTAAATTTTTGAATAAAAAAATAAATAAAAATAAAATAATATACACATCATACATGTAGTTATATGAGGGAACTTATCTCTTGCTTTTAATGTTACGTGAGTGGCAACCACTGTGCCAAGGTATTGTTTAACTTCATATTATATTATGATTGGTAGGGGATTTATTTTCAATTCATGGCACAATAAAACTAGATAGAAGTGATTTTTGAAGTTATAGTCAAAGACACTGAGCCAGTAGGACAGGCAAGTGACACCGACATTGGCTGAAAATAAAATCAGACAGAAAATTAAATTGCTCATGCCCCAATATCCCTCTGACGAAACAAGAATATCATGTATCAAATTATTACGGCAGCTTTAGAGTCATTAAGGGGAAGCTGGTTCCTTCTGGTCAAGTGTGTGGCGTCTGTGTGGCCTGGTGGAGTTCTAACATTCCAAACTACACAAAACACAAGAGTCAATACAGTTGAGCTGGTCAACCGCCTAGCTAAGGGGTCAGCCTTCGGGAAGGGGAATTCACGTCAAGCCATGCTGAAGAGCTGAAAAAAAAATAAGCATCCCTTTAATAAGGTAAGTTTCTGTCTTTTTTTCTCACAAAGCCCTGCCCGATGAAGTCACTACAGAGTCTCCGTCAAGCTGTGCCAGGTCTGTTTGGCTTTCCAAACAGAGTTCAAAAGACAACTATTCCTTTTGCATTTTTTTTTCTGTCTCTTTCACACGCTGGCCAGAGTCCGAGTACACTTTGTCTGACAGTTTGCCTCTTTGGTTCATGTCATTAAAATTTCCAACTTTTATTATTTGAAAGATAACATCAAATGCAGGCATATAAACCACAGATTAAAATATTTCCCTATCCTAAATGCCATAAAGGATGAAGGCCGCTCTCTTCGGCCATGTGGGTGCTTGCTGATGAACCTCCACCCCTAACTCAAGAGACACGGCGCTCTCTCTCCCTCTTCTCCATCACCCTCAGCCACAAGGATTAACAGCTGACCTGCCCTGTGATTATTCTTTCAAACTCTGAGAAAACTGGTCTCAAGCTTCCTCCTCAGTCCATTCATAAATCATCTTATTATAAAATCAAGACTTAAGTGAGACTAAGGATCCCGAAGGAGGACCCTATTTTCCAGGTAACAAAACCCTTAGGACTCCTCCAAAGCTGTGACGTAGAACAGTTTGAATTCAGGTGAGTAAAGTGTCTTCATAAGGTAATTAAGTACTTACCTGAGAGCCCAGAAACACACAACAACCACAAATAAACAGCAATCACAACAAACAAAAACAGGGGTGTCTTGAAGACTGAAACCAAAATTCGTCTGTAAGCCACTGTGCGGGATGAGAAAGCCAAGTGGATAAGCAACGGGCAGAGAAACATGGGCATTAGCCTGGCGAAGCCACGTAGAGAAGTGAAAGCAAAAGCCAATGCAATTAGAGCTCCATGAAGAACAAGAGTGTACACTCTTAGGCCATGAAATGCTTTCGGGGTTGCTTTGTATCTCGATGTAGTGATTAACATGTAAGTCATAATGTGCAGAATTTCTAGATGGATGTAAATGATTGAAGAAGCAAACACCCAAGTCAATCACTGAGCGTGACAGAAATAATGAGCATAGTTGGAGGATCTCAGCGCCTGGCTCCTAGCTTGGTTTTGGTGTTTATACCCATAGGAAAGCGCGGTGGACGAGCAGCCTGTGTGGACACTTTCATTACAGCCCATTAGGACAGAGAGTTTCAGGGATGGAGAGATGGGTCAGAACGTAAGTGGCTGTACTACTCTACTAAAGGACCTGAGTTCAAATCCTGGCATCTATATAGCAGCTCACAATTGTCTGTAAGTGTCTCACTGCCTGTGGCTTCAGATCTGACAACCCTGGCTCAGTGGGCACACACATACACGCGTGCGCAGCCCATATTCACACCGATACACACACATAGTTGTGATTAAAAATAAAATATAATAATTTTTAAAGCAGGAAACTTCCTGACTTTTATAAAGCAGCAACGTATCTGCAAGACATTTAAAAAAGGTCAGTTTCACTTGCAAATGAAACTCTAGTTACCAATAAAACACATGCAGGAAATGCACAGACAAGCACAAGTATACTGCACACAGAGGTATGTGGTATGTGTGGAGGAGGATAAGCCAGCCCTTGGTGGCTCTGGGGTGGGACAGCTCAAAGGTCAGAGCAGGATGTCAGGTGACCTGCTCCATCTCTCTGTACCTCAGTCACCTGAGACAGGGTCTCTCATTGCACCTGGATCAGGGCTGATGCCAGCAAGCCCCAGGAATCTTGTCTCTGCTCCCCCACAGTGCTGAGACTTCCAACAAGGACCGGGTCATGCCAACGTAGCCTTTTACATGGGTGCCGGAGACGTAAATAAGAGTCTTCATGCTTGTAAGAGGAGCACTCTTACCCACTGAACCATCTCTCCAGCACCTAATTTTGTTTTCAACCTTTTGTCCTACTTCAGATATGGGAAGCCATCAAGAACGGCTTTGATCCGGGTTTTCTGGCTAGGAGTCTGGTAACAGCACCTTCACTCTGGGTTTCTGGGTTTCAGGCACTCAGGGCATTGGAGCTGCAGTCACACACTATACAAGGATGTTTCATGAAAGACACATCCCATTCAGGTTACGGATATCACATACAGTGATATGAGCATCAGGCTCTTCTGTGTGTGTTTATGGAAGGACATTCTATGATGAATCCAAAATCACCAAGCTACTAGCTAGTGAGTGGTTCCTCTCACTCTACCCCCACACCATACTAGATAGCCCCAACTCATTCTAGCTTGTAGGAAAGTCAGCATTTTTCAGATAACTCTCTCTTTATCCCGTGTCCTGCCTTCCTCACTCTACCTACATTATACAGAAATTATACCAAAATAAAAAATGAGATAAAAGAAAAGAAATTAGACTAAAGATGGTATTTCACTGGGGGAAAGGGACATACTTTGTTTTGATCTGTTCTTCTTGTTATTGCTTTTGTTCTTGCTCTACTTACTTCTCCAGCAGGTTATCTTCCAATGTTCATGTCTTAAATGTAGTTGAAGCCTTAGATATAAAACCCAGAGAGATGGCAGGAGGGCTGGCCCAGAGGTTAAGAGCACGCACTGCTTTGACAGGGGACCTCATTTCCTCTCCTGCACCCATGTTAGGCAGCTCACCACTGCTTGCAACCCCAGCGCTAGAAGACCTGATGCTTCTGGCCTCTGATGGGCCCTGCATTCGCATGTGTATACTATACACAGACACATAAAAATCAAACATAGAAATAGTTTATTGGTTTCAAGTCAGGATAGTTGAAATATAGTGGTTGATTCTACTAGGGATGTTTGCAGTCCTGTTCTGGAGTCAGATTCCAATCACCTGCCAACAATAAAGGCATTAAGTAACACGGGAGGGGGGCTCTGTAGAGAGTCGAGGAAGGAGGGTCTGACTTTCAAAGGCTGACCTTTCATTAAGGAAAAGAAATCCCTCAGAAAGCTTATCAGAGACCTCCGAGGTGAAAGAGCCAACAGCAGCCGCATGCAGGCGGCTATTTCCAACCAAGAAGGAGACACCCTGACTACACAGAAGCTGGGTAACTCACTGAGCACATACAATCACCATATAAGCTTGCATGGGGCATTGCCAACCCTGTATTGGTAAAGTAAGGCCTATGTGGACCTTGTGCCTGCAGGTCTACACATGCTGAGGCTCCCCAAACCGCAAGGCGTAGAGGGGGAGCAGGCACCCAAAAGTTCATGCCATCCTGAATCACCCTTGTCTTCCACAGGCGCTCCAGTGAGCTCAAGGCTCTGGGTGACAGCTTCTCTGGGGTCTCGGGCTTTCCCCAGCAAGGTGTGCCGTTGAGCTTTCAAATCAGTAAGGGCTGGCTTAATCTTTCTTTGAGTCCCTTTCCCCCACCCTGTGCCTGAGGAAACCTTAGCCACTTGCCTCACGGACCAAGGTGGTAACACATTTAAAACATATGTTTTGTGAAGTGTTCCTAAGAAGGGCCTCTCTTGGCATGCCCAGCAGAGATCTGGTGCCAACAGTGGTCTTTGCTAAGCATGCTTTAATGTTCAGAATCTCTTCTAGAAAATTTCCTGTATGGGCCCTGAAGCCCCAAACCCTCCCAGCTCTCAGGTCTTCAAGAGTTTCCTCTGAACTCTTCTAATGGTATCTTGTGGTGTGTGGTGTGTGTTTCTTTCTCTTCCACAATATCTTTTTGTTGGTTTTATTTTATTTACTCGTTTGGCAAAGGAAAATACCTTATTGCGAGCCACAAAACCAAGGAAGCGAGAAAAAAAAAAGATCAACCCTTTGTTTAGAAACCATGAGAAAGCAAACTCACGTTTGTGGTGTGTGAATTCACACGTGCTGGTGTGGTCAGGTCAGGGCTTCCTGGCTAGAAGAAGGAACAAGGGGGCAGTGTAGTATGATGCTTTTACTCTTTTGGCTCTTTTGAGGGGCAGCCATCCAGATCTCAAATGAATCCCATGGAGGTTTATTCCTAGTTCGGGATTGCTCAGCCTTAGTTTCGCTTGTTTCTTGCCAGATTTTCTTAATTTGTCCCATCTACCTTTGACTCTGGGCTTTTCCCTTCCTCTTACTTCTGTAAATCTTACTCTTACTCCATGGGTTGCTGTGTAGCTGGATAGGTGGCCCCTGAGAGCCTCCTCCTTCAATGGCCACATCTTCTCCCAGATTTCTCCTATATATTCCCTCTGCCTGCCAGTCCTGCCCATCCTTTCTCCTGCCTCGCTATTGGCCCTTCAGGTCTTTATTAGCCCATAGGTGTTCTAGACAGGCAAAGAATCACAGCTTCGCAGAGTTAAACAAATGCAACATAAAGAAAAGTAACACACCTCAACAGGGCAGAACTGGACATCAGGCAAGACGGCACATGTTGTGATAATTATTTCAGATCTTCATCAGGAAGGTTGGGCCTGAGCTACGAGGTTCTTAGCGACTCTTTATGAGGACTTGTGTGGAGAGACGCATGGCTAGGAATTAGAAAGGCGATAGATCGTTCACTAAAGGAAAGACTCAGAGGAATAAGGAGTGTGCCACATCTCACTTGACTCCAAGGCGGCACAGAGGGAACCGAAGGGACAAATTGAGGAGGTCCTAGTGACCTTTTATGGCCATTAGTGTGGTGCCTGCCTCCCCTGACTTTGTCTATTTGGGGCTTTTCTCATCATGTCCCCTCGACTGAATGAAGCCCAGGTAGACGAGGGGCAGTCAGTCTTCCCAGGGATGCACCCCTCATGTGCTCACCTCTGGAATCCCCTTCTCTGCTGTCTCCCAGTCTTATGTAATCCCATAGCCCAGTGACTTGCCAAGCTTGAGGCAGAAGGCTAAAGTGTTTGAGCCTAGGCTGGGCTGCACAGTGAGACTGTGGAGTGCTGTGCTCTAAAGGAAGTATCTGTATCACATCTGCTGCCCCTAAGCTCCGGGGTCATCACAGAAGGGGGGCAAAAGACTATAGGAGCCAGAAGAAGTCAATGTCTGCAGTGAAGCGGCGTTGGCTGGGACCTGAAAACACACCTGCACCATGACGAACTCACAGCTGCTGGGAGGGACTGATGCCCCAAACCCACGATTATCAATCCAGACAGGCTCCCAGCATGGCACATGGCGGTCCCGCCCCTAGCTAAGGGGCGAGTTAAAATGGATGGCTCTTGGGGGTGGGAGAATTGGTTTTCTTCAAGGATGAAGGCACTTGGGTAGATAGATGTCTTGCACTCACACACATGCGGGCAGCACTAAGTAAACTCAATGGTTATTTGCTTGCTTGTTTGTTTTTCAAAAGTCCATGAAGTTGGGAGGATAAGTGGTAGGGGTACAAGGAGGAAACTGGGAGTGAAGGAGATGGGGGGTATTTAACAGAAGCACATTAAATGCAGCAATACACTCTCAAATAGTAAAAAAAAATTAAAGAAACACATAAATAAATGGATAAGTAAGAATATGATCAGGAAGGGGTGGTGGAGGAATAGGGGGGAAAGAGGAGAGAATGCTAAAAAGAAGAGATGGGGAAAGGGAAATGGGTGGAGAGAGAGAGACAGAGAGAAAGAATGGACAAAGGGAGAAGGAGGAGGACAGGAAGCAGAAAGGGGTAGACTCACCATGCTCTTGGTAGTTACAGCACACAGTTCCAGTTAAAAGAAAGTTTTTTCTTGTGCCCCAGAAAAAACACTTCCACAACTTTTCTGCTTTCCAGCAACTACAGCGCCCCAACAAACCAATCCAGCACCAAACCACAACTTTATCCTTACAGCAAAGGTCACACAATAACTTACGTTCCCTAGGCTTGTGAAACAATCTGTTTTTCATTACTACGAAGAAATGCTTGAGACTAGACAACTTTATAAAGGAAATGGGGTGATTTCTCACAGTTCAACAGATTCCAGGGGGCATGAGGCCAGCATCAGCTCTGCTCCGGTGACAACTGGATGACAGATGAGCCGTAATGATGGAAAGACGAAACCACCAAAGAGGACCATGACAGAGACTCCATGGCGGGTGTTACTCATGCAATTGCTCACATTCACAAATCCCAGGGCTCTCTGAGAATGGCATTAATCCCTTCCTAAACAGATCCCTCAGTGGCCTGAGGACTTCATCAAGTTTCCATCCCCTACAGGCTCCACCACCAATCTCTCACTGCCGAGAAGGGACCCAGATCCCAACACGTGAGTGACTTGGGAACCCAAACCACAACACACTGGGAAATGATCTTGGTTTGCTTGAATGGGAAGCACACCTGACTGGTGTCAAGATGGTCTGTGATCAGGAGCTGGATGCTTATCGCCCGGATGGTTGAAGATGAAGGACCATGTACTGCCAAGCTTCTCTCGACTCAACTCATAGCTGTGGTTGGTTTGCATTTTCAGGGCTGCCTGGCTTACTCTGGGAGAAGTTACTGTGTCATGAAGGACTGTGTAAATCACCAGTGTGCTAGCCTGTATCTCTTCCTTATGAGCTCTCGCTCCTCTCTCTCTGTCTCTCTCTGTCTCTCTCTCTCTCTCTCTCCCTCCCTCCCTTTCTCGCTCCCTCTCTCTTCCTTGCTCCCTCTCTCTTTCTGACCTTCTCCAGTCCACAGGAAAGACCTGCTCTTCACTCAACTGCATTCAGAGCAAGGATCATCATGCCTCCCGAAGGCTGGTGTTTCTGAATGTGTGGAGGGTCTCAGAGAAGAAAGTATAGTGTCACCATGTATAGCTAAGGCTTATGCTTCTGAGGATGCAGAAGATGTCCGTAGAGAAGAAAAGGAAAGCAGCTCATCATATCTCCAACGTCAGCTTTCCTGACAACAGACAGCACTTGTTAGCTACAGCCAGTAGATGAGTTAAAAGTTGCTTCCAGGGCTGAAGAGGTTAAAAGTGCTTGATGCTTTCAGAGAGGACCCAGGTGTTCTGGTTCTCAGCAGCCACACTGAAAGTCTCACAACTATCTGCAACTCTTGTAGCTCTAGTTTCAGGGGGATCTGACTCCCTCTAGTGGCCAATGCAGGCACCTGCGCACAGGTAGTACATGTACAGATAAGCAGACGCACATAAATATGCATACACAAATGCTTTTACAAAAGTTTCTTCTGAGCAATTTCATAATTTAAATCAATTGCACATATAGTAACAACCCAATCTTAATGTGGCTCCTTTTTTTAAAAAAAAAATCTCTTTTTCGGGTGGAAAAAAATTCATACATTGATTTTTTTAGAAGAAAAAGTACATTGCAGCAAAATTTCTTCCTTTATGTCTTAAGTCAGAATAAAATAAACTATAGGAGAGGGAGCCATTTCCAACACTGCAACTCCTGAGGTGATCCTGGAAGGTGCAGAAGACATAGGCACCTAACTCTTATACAATGGGTGCTGAGTATACCACCTCAAACCATCGAACCTTCCTCATATAAAAATAGATGACAAAAGATGATGCCACATGTGTTTCCTGTTGTTCCCAAGCTCCAGCTCAGGGTAATGACAGACTCGAATTCCATAAGAACTGATCCAACCCAATAATCATCACCAGCCCAGCCCAATGGCCTTCACTACTCCCCTGAGAAGCTCGAGGGGTTTTCCTCAGATCCTTCACCAGTGTTTAACTCACAACAGAACCTAATGCTTCCTTACCTAACCAGGCCAAACAAAGAAGAGGGATCCCTAAAAGAAAATTTTCCTAGAACAGTGCCAAGAAGAAAGAGGAACTGGGTAACTCCAGCTTTCTGTCAGCTCAGCTAGTGGGTTTGCTGGATAGGCCTTGTGCCTCCAAAATAGAGAATAGCGAACTTCAAAAGAAGGGGGTGCTGGGGCACTGCCCTTGGGATGGGACTGGACGTAGGCGGCTGCTTACACTTGGGCATAAGCATTTTTGGTTTCTGAAAAGTAAGGAAAAGGATTCTGGGTGTACTTGTGTATCTGAGAGCAGACCAAAGCAGGAAGCTTGGTCAGGAACTTCAGGTACACAGTACCATGGGGGTCAGCAGGGCCTGGAGGTGGGGGATGTATGCAGCCCTGCTACCATTAAAAAAAAAATGTTGGCATTAAAACAGCAAGGCCAGAAACACTGGGGAAAGTAACGAGCTTTCACAGCAGTGGATGAGCCTAGCCAGCTAACTAGCTAAGAGAAAGGGCTGGGTCTGGAGAAAACAGCAAAGCCAGTCTCAGCAGGCTCTGGCTGCCACTAGGAAGCCCTCTGCTCTAGTTAACTTCTCAGCTCCACAAGTTGTTACTCCTTTACTGGTTTTTATCTAATGAACCTAATTGTAACAGATTGAATGGTGGGTAAAGACATTTTCTAGGAAAGCCTCTGTTTATCCCAGAAAGGATGCGATCTCAGACCACCTCAGAGGTGGGAAAAGGGGAGGGAGACAGCTGAGGAAGAAGTCTGAGTCCAGATCCTAGAAGTAGTAGGTTGCTATTGCCACAGCTCCGCCTACTCACCATTCTGGATGGGGCGCTTTCCACCTCTGCCTTCTTGCCTGCTCAACATAACCCTTGTTCGCTCTGCCTGCACCCTCGGTGGGTTCTTCTCTTTGGGGAGCTCAAGAACCAAGATGACTGCCACAGTTAGGACTGGAGGTGTCTCTTTCTCTGCAGCCCTGGGGCCACCCACAACACATCAGCCTAATAGTAGACATATCCCTTCAAGAACCACCTCACTTAGGTTCTGCGCAGATGCCAATTCATCAAAGGACATGAAGGCGCTACCAAAATCCACCTGGCATCCTTGTCAGTGAGCTGGGGCAGCAGCTAAGAGTACCCAAGAAACAGGGCTGACAGCATGTGTAGTTGAGAACCCTGATGACTCTATGTGGGGGGAAAAGAGGAGGAAAAAATCCAAGTGTGTGAAACACCCCACCCACCTTCAATTACAGCATCTCGGCCCCCATCCACACTGACAGTAGCGGGCAACATGGATCAAACGACTGAAGTCTAAATGAGAACCACGGTTGCAAACTCTGAACTCAAATGACTCTTCCCAGTCCAAAAGTGGCTTTAAATCTACAAAAAATAAAAATAAATAAAATAAAATCTCACCAACGGAAATTCTGCACGTTGGGAAGGGGGGTTGGTACAAGGATTAGAAGCTTGATTCTGACTGGCTGTGTCCAGATCAAACGTTTAGCTACACTGTTCTTTTATTGTAGACTTTTGCTTTTAACCTTGCTGACCTGTACCTAGAAAAGTCTACAGAAGAATTCACCCATACAGTCATTGGAGTTTAAAGCTATGTGCTGTGTTAATGGAGTCTGTGCAAGCCAAAGCGACATGTAAGGTCAGAGCATCAGTCAGCTTCGTTGTGTGTGCTCCCTGTTTCCTACCAAGCCAAACTTACATACTCTTATATATTAAGACTTTTATACATGCATATTATGTGTTTTGATCAAACCTGGCCCGATGCTGTCACCTGCAAATCGTCCCCCAGGACCCACAACTGTATTTCCCTCCCAAATTCCTAGGATATTTTCTTTTCAAACCCACTAGGCCCCCTTGGTGCTTCCTGCATGCGCACGGGAGTAAGACCATCTGCTACAGCATGGCTACAACAGCGGTCTCACGAGGGACGCATCCGGAAGAAAACATCAAAGGTTGACAGCTCTTCAGCTGGGGGTGGAGCTGCCCAGGCTCCTCCCCATCTACGCTGGGATTTTGTTTGGCTTGGTCTTGAGGGCGTTTGGCTCCTTCACTCAAAGTCACTCTTCGTCAGCGGCCCTGCCATGTCTGGAAAATACTGTTTCACTACAAGTATCCGCTCCCTCTAGCTCTGTAATCATTCCGGCCCCTCTTCCACTATGATCCCTTGAGCCTTGGAGGAGCAGGGTTGATGTAGATGTCTCTTTTAAGGCCGAACATTCTACACTCTCTTATTCTCAATATATCAATCAGCTATGAGTTTCTGAAGTTATCATCATCTATTGCAAAAAAAAAAAAAAAAAAGCAGCTTCTTGGCTGAGGGTTGACCAATGCCTTAATGTATGGGGATAAAGTGCTTAGAGGACAGTTTAATATCAGGACCATTTGGAAGAATAATAGTAGGTATGTTCACCTCTAGGGGCCACGGCCTACAATGCCATGAGCTATTGGCCCAGTTAAGTGTATCGGGCATGAGTTATGCCTTGTGGAGTGGGCCTTAAGACCATCCAGAAAGTGGTTGGTTATCCTGTAATATTCCCATCACTGTTGCCCCAGGGGCCATCTTGCTGATCTGGTCATTACTGTAGGCCATAGGCTCACAGCTGGGTAAGACTACTGATGAGTTTTCTCCCCCAGTAGTGTGCTTTGCACCTATGTGAGTTCCCTAGGTCTAAACAGAGTCTATTCAGAGAGAAGGCAAAGCACCAGGGTGCCCCCTGCAGGACAAAAGAAACAGTCCTGTGGACCTGGGAAAGGGATGGGTTTGGAACCTACCAACTGCATTTCTGTTGGGGTTTTAAAGTCTCAGAGTTGACATTAAATTTGTGCACAACCCCCAAGCTAATACAGAAGGGTTCACAACATGGCAAGCATACCCACGAGCGCTTAAGCAGAGAGGTGGTCACAACTGACCAGAGGACAAGGCAGTGTTCACCACTTTGTTTTCATTCTTGGCAAAGTGGGAAGAGCCTCAGCCAGAGGAAAGTCATCAAAAATATGTCCCACAGGTGACCAGGAACCCCCAGACAGGCTCCCTGTGCCTACTCTAGACCCATTTCACCAGGAGACAGTTTTTCCAGCACCAAGGGGGAAATGATTCTGACTTACTCAGCTTGCTTTGAAATAAATGCTTTGGTGGAGTGGGTGCTGGGTATAAGTGAAGCCAACAGCTCACCAGAAAACAAAATGTCACCTGTGGCGGCAGGTCTTTCCCACGCTCTTGCTTCATGGGTTGCGGAGCCAGACCACCACTGAGCCCCTCTATCAAGACCACAGAGGTGCAGCTGGCCCTGACACTTGAGGGAGGCCACACTTGAGTCAGCCACAGCTGTGGGTACGGTGTGTCTCATCTTTTAGAAGATGAGAGGCAGAGACATCGAATTGTTTTTCTCCCATGGTTATCTCCCATCTCCCCCCCTCCTCCTCTCTGTCCCCTTGTCTGGGTCTTCTGTCCCCTCTCTTGTGGCATTCTCAAGGCTGCTCTGACGGCGCCACACCGTCATGACGTGCAGCTTCCATGGCGCCTCTTCCTCCCAGGCAGGAGGGACATCTGGTCAATGAGTGTCGGAAGATGGCAGCAACAAGCAGAAGAGCCAGTCTGTATTTGCTGAAACTAAACTTACCTGATTGTCTTCGTCGGGGTTTCCATTGCTGTGAAGAGACACCATGCCCAGCAGCTCCTATAAAGGAAAACATTGAATTGAGGCTGGCTTACAGTTCAGAGGTTCAGTCCATTGTGATCATGGTAGTAGACATGGTGCTGGAAAAGGAGCTGAGAGTTCTATATCTTGACTGGCAGGTACCAGAGAATGGCTGTCTACCACACTGGGCATAACTTGAGCATATGAGACCTTAAAACCCACCCCACCCCACCCTACTCCCCCACCTCACCCCACCCCTATGCCCCACAATGACACAGTTCCTCCGACAAGACCACACCTACACCAACAAGGCCACACCTCCTAATAGTGCCACTCCCTGTAGGTCAAACATTCAAACACAGAGCCAAGGGGAGCCATTCCTATTCAAACCACCACATTCCACTCCCTGGACCTCATAGGCTTCTAATCATACCATAATGCAGAAATGCATCCAGTTCAACTTCAGAAGTCCCCATAGTCTATATCAGTCTCAAACTTGTTTAGAAGTCCAAAGTTCAAAGTCTCTTAACTGTAATCCCCTGTAAAATCAAAACTAAAAATAAAAAAATCAAAATTATACTTTCAATATATAATGGCACAAGATATACATTATCATTCCAAAATGGAGAAAGGGGACCATAGTGCATAGTGAGGAAATACTGGACCAAAGCAAGACTAACACCAGCTGGGCAAACTCTAAACTGCATCTCCGTGTCTAATGTCAAAACACTCTTGAGATCTCCAATTCCTTTCGTTTTTGTTGACTTCAACACCCCTCTTTGTCTTGGACTGGTTCCACTCCCTGTTAGCAGCTCTCCTAGGCAGGTATCCCATGGCTCTGGCCTCTCTATTGTCTTGGGTTCTTCATGGCAAATCTAGGCTTTTCCATCCCAAATCCACACAATGGACCTCTCTAGGCCTCCATTCAGGGACATACCTGCTTCATGTCTGGCCTTGGCAGCGTTCCTCAGTCGCAGAAGGAGATTCCATAATGCCTTTCTTCTATTCTTGAGTCTAAAGCCAGAACCACACAGCTAAAGCTGCCAAATTCTGCTGCTTACTGGTTCTAGAACATGGCCCTCTTTTTCAATTACCATTTTGTTTTTTTGTTTTTTTTTTTTTTATGGTTTCCTTCACTGCCTAAGCTTGACTGGCCTAGAACACAGTAGAGCCAATATCAGGCTGTTTTGAGATTTCCTTTGCCAATGGAATTAAGTAATCTAAAACTCTTTACTTTAGCCTCAGTAGACTCTTTAGACAAGGGCAAAGAGCAGCCCCATTCCTCACCAAAATATCACAAGAACAGTCTCTAAATCACTTACCAAAATTCTCCTCTTCTGAAAATTGGTGAGCCAGGTCCCCAGAGTTCAAATAACCCTCAGCACCACTGTCTTCCATACTCCTACTAGGGTGGCCCATTAAGCCCTACTTAAAGCATTCAATGGCTTTTCTAATCCACCATTTCAAAGTTAGGGCAAATGCCCCAGGCTGGCTCTTCTGCTTGTTGCTGCCATCTTCCGACACTCATTGACCAGATGTCCCTCCTGCCTGGGAGGAAGAGGCGCCATGGAAGCTGCACTGATGGTGTGGCGCCAGTCAGAAGCAACCTTGAGAATGCCACAAGAGAGGGGACAGAAGACCCAGACAAGGGGACAGAGGGGGGGGGGGCGGGAGATAACCATGGGAGAAAAACAATTCGATGTCTCTGCCTCTCATCTTCTAAAAGATGAAACACACCATACTCACAGATGTGGCTGACTCAAGTGTGGCCTTCCTGTGTCAGGGCCAGCTGCACCTCTGTGGTTTTGATGGAGGGGCTCAGTGGTGGTCTGGCTCCGCAACCCACGAAGAGAGAGAGTGGGAAAGACCTGCGCCACAATATTTTGTTTGTTGCCTTCTCTTATAACCAACACCCACTCCACCAAAGCATTTATTTCTAAGGATGAGAAGTAAATCATTTAGGGTGATCTCCACCCCCAGTACTGAGAAAACTGTCTCCTGGTGAAATGGGACTAGAGTGAGCACAGGGAGCATGTCTGGGGGTTCCTGGTCAACTGAGGGACAGATTTTGGTGACTTTCCTCAGGCTGAGGCTCCTTCGACATTGCCAAGAATGAAAAAAAGCCTTGTCCTCTGGTCAGTTGTGACCACCTCTCCGCTTCAGCGCTCGTGGGTATGTTTGCCATGTTGTGAACCCTTCTGTATTAGCTTGGGGGAGGGGCGTCACGTAGGAGTTTAACTCTACCATACATTTGATGTTGTACCTTCCGATGTCCCCCCACTTCCCAGACACAAACGACATGCGGTCTGGGTGCCTTTGCCTGCTTAGAAGTCGTGGCTCCCAGATGCATGATGGGTAGAGAAGAGGTGGGACTAATCTCTTATTTGCTCATCTAGGCGTCACGTTCCCCTGGTTTATTCCCTCCTGCGTCACTGCCTGGTTCACACTGGAGTCCTCCACTCCAGAAAAACCCCTGGCTGCACCTTTTGTTCAGTGTGCCGATCATTGTAAAAGCAGCAAGATGTGGACTCTGATTGCTCACAGAGTCCAACAGGAAGCCTCCTGTCATTTAAGGGGGTGGAAGAAACTTGGTGGGCATTTTGACAGCTAATGTGTCCTTGAGCATGGTGTGTGTGTATGTGTGTCTTGAATTTGATCTTTATAAAACTT